AAATGGGTGGCAAGCAAGCTCTTATTGCTAGGTCTTGTACCTGTTCATAAACCTCATCATTAAAGGTAAATTATATTCTGCTCATGGATAGATTAAGAGGTCTTGAGGTTGAGCTTTTGCTCAGATTTCCCTCCCCAATAATTTCTGGATGCTCATCTCGATTGAGTGTACGTGCTTCAATAGCTTCAATAGCCACATCAAGACTAACCAAAAGATCCTTTCATTTAATAATCTGTTTTTATTATTAATCTAGCAAATTCATATATTTGTTTATTTGGTTGCTTGATTTACTATTATTACTGCTTGGATGCTAGTAACATAAATCTAGTTGGACCGAATAATGCTTAGCTCTTTTTGCATAAAAAGGAGTGATAACATTTCTCATTTTAAACTGCATTTTGTGTTAAGAAATATGGCTTTGATAGTATTGCATGTAATTTGATCTACAAGATTAAAATGTATATTTCATCGAATATTGATTAATGAGTAATAATTAAATATTTTAATGAATTCTGAAGTCTTTTAACCCATGAAATTACTTCTACTGTTTAATGTTTTCACCCAAATTTTCGTGCTTACCTGTTGCCGATAAAGTTAGATGAACATATTTTTGGCAATATTTGGCAAGCATAATTAGCTTTAATGAGGTTTAAGACCAAGATGGTGTGGTCTTCAGTATGAAACTGACTCTTTTCGTTGTGTATAAGTTGTTTGACCTTGTTTTCTCAACTTGGTCCTGGTCTGGAGTCCGTAGTTTACATGATTATCTTCAGAGTGGACCGTGGATTTGGTACATTTCCAGTTGCCATGTCCGGCTCTGGGAATTAGCATGCATACTACGGACTCTGGACAAAGTGCCTTCATTGAGGTCTTCCTGACAATACGACCAAGTAGAGAAAAGCAGGTCAAGCAACTTCAATAATTAGTTATCGCTTCTTATTATAGTGTCGCTGTTAATTATAGCTAAAGTTTAATTAAATTTTCTTTTTTTAGAGAGCCAAATGATATTGCATTTTAATCTAGTTCTTATTTTGATGCCTCTAGCAAGGCGGGCAAATACGGCCGTCTTGCTCTTTTGAATAAGTTTACAGAAAAAGACTTAAGGCAACCAAAGTTTATAAAGGTGATGCAAGGACTTGTAATTTAACTTTCCCACACAGGAGAACCTTAAAAGACTTAAATAGACTAAATTTCTTAATTAATTTTAATCACCCCTACTACCATTCCTATTCTATTATTATTATTACCACCACTACTAATACTCTAGTACTACTATTACCGCTACTACTATTACTACACTTTTTATGTGATTCACTGGCGCCGATAGGTGTGAGGCAGATTGAAATGGTCGCAAGAGTCAGATTCGCAACTTTTTATGAGGGCGGTGATATGGTTGGGTGGAAATAACTTTTTGGAAGTAAATATATGCCAACTGTAATGGCTTCATGATGTTTATTATGGCAACTTTAGCTATCCGTCGTTACATCGCTTCACGTTCACAGATAGTCTTGAAGCATACTCATTACTGTTATACTTATATTATATTTCGTTTTTGAATAGTTTTTTGAGACTACCAATAAATTAGATAAATGAGCTTTTCTAAACTCTATTTCATTTAAGTGATTAAGGGTAGAAATGACGTCCCCATTGCATTTCACATAACTTTGCTCACCCGAAAAGTGTTCTCATCCCAGATGGAAACACTCATCCGATTGTGGGAAAAATGAACTACCGCTCCTTCACACATTAAACGGAATATGGTGAACACAGCTCATATACATTTATTACTCGAGTTACCCATTTGATGGCATTTCCTCCATACAACGCGACTACACAACCAGCAACCTCATCTTTGCACACAATTCATACCCACCCAGAAGAGCAGTCATGCAAATGTGTGAACACAACCAAATATGCCGCATGACTACCCATTTAAAGGTGCACATTTTTCCTGGCATTTGTCCACTTGTTCACCTCCTCTTCGTCCCCCCAACCCCCGGCATCAGGCCTGGTACCGCTGGTCGTGGCACGACAACTGCTTGGCGATACTGGCGAGGTGCTGTTGGTAATTGCTATTTTGTGCGCCGTCGTAACGACAGCCTATGCAGAAGTGATGGCAATCACGTCGATCTGCATTTTTGACATCTACATTGTCTACTTCCGCGTGAGTTGTGTGCTAAAGTATGAAAAATAGAAACTTATTCTTCGAAGCTATGAAGGTCAAGATGGTGTAGGCTTTAGTACAGTCTCGGTATCCTCTTATCGTATAGAAGTTGTTTGGCCTTGTTTCCTCAACTTGGTCGTGTCGTCATGACGATGTAGAAGAGCGCACCCTGTCAGGAGTCCATAATATTCTCACTATTTTTCACAGTCGGACCGTGTACCTGGTACCTTCCCATAGGTTTTACAGGCTCCATGGTCTTCGGACAAGGTGCCTTCTTCTAGGTCTTACTGCCGATATGACAAAGTTGAGAAAACAAGGTCAAACCATTTCCATAAGCATATTATTGTTGATACTCCTCATTGATGCTCGCCAAGAATTCTGGTACAATGTATAAATGAGTGAAGCAGACCAGACAGTCACAGCTTGGCTCAGCTTTTTGTAAGTAATTAACCAAAGATTATATTTCAAAGGAT